GGCCTGAGAACATCCGCAATGCCATGAAAACAAATGAAGTACTTCGATAAGCGAAAGACTCTCGCCGGAGACAGAGGGCCAGAGGACAATGCTGCTCGAGAGTGCGCATGTGCGCGTGCCTCGGCCGCAGTGAACATCTGCGCCCCCGCAGCACCCGGAAGGGAATCGGAATGCAGAAGGCGGCTGCAAGTGCTCATTAACGATGACAATAGAGGAAGAAATGCTACAAACTGTTTCCAATAAAGCAATTACAAATGCGCATAAATTTTGAAGAGAATCCTATAAGGGCGTAATGTTGTGGCACTGCATGGAACTCTGGGAGAATACATACATAAATAAACATGTGCAACATCTCACTCTCCCACGCACAGCAGCTCCCAACTCCAATTACAAGTAAAGCTACAAAGTGAAATATTCCGATTTATCATTTATGGCTCTGTCTGCATAGATAGTCTTTTTTACTGAAATGACAATAGAAAGTATATTATACGATTTACCATATATAAATTTATATATAGTGTGATCATATTATTCATGAGACTATTTATAGAGGAAGAACATTTGATATACTTGATATACTTAAAGATATAATCATCATTTATAAACAATCTATCAAATCGAGTCTTCGGGTGTCGCACTGTCAAATTGTTATATAGATATCATTTGCTGTTGCTCCACGATTCCACAGATAATAGCTATTCAAACTTCATCATATCTATACGTGTCTACATTTCAAATTCCGAGTCTGTAGCCTCTATACGAAGAAAGTTATCTATACACGTCTCGAATTATTTCCCGTATCAGATGAGTTATTTTCAATTACAAATCTTAGGTTTCATTCCGGATTTACATTGCACAAAGCTAATATACCCCTACACCACTACTATAAGAACGAGTATAAGAACTTTTGGGTAATTTTTCACATTATTACAGTTGACAACAAACTTTTCAAGTTTATGTCACAAATAGTTCTAGTTATCTCATCGAGCTCTGCACATTCTGCGAATGGGTTTTTTATGCTTTTTTATTCACAAACAGCTGAGGTATACTAGATGAGTAAGGTCATTTTGATCATCGGTCAATTGTGTAAACAGCAGCCAGAGATGCCTCTTAAAATAGTAATTTAAACGAATATGAAAAAATACAAAACGAGAGAGTAACAAAAAGGGAAATTTATTGGAAAATAAAAGAATAAAAGCATGCTTTTAGGTGCTCTATAAAAATACTTGGATAAAGTAGAACTACAGGGAAATTTTTAAGATTCTGAATTCAATTTCATATTTCAAATTTTACTCTCTAAGCACTCGCTCTTTAACGAGCGCCCACTGTACTTGGCTCTTACTGCCAGCTCAACCGTTAGCCATGACTCATCGGCCTCACACACTCACACTCACACTCACACTCACACTGACACTCGTCTATGAGACATTCATTTCATCTCCCACCTCGCTTCGTTGGCTGAATTCGCGCCAAGCGAACGCAAATTAGCGAAAAACAACTTTGAACTTTTTTCCGACCACCCTCGGCTTAGATATATACCACATATATGGCCTCCCACTTGCCAGCGGCGACAACTCAACAACGAAAATAAATTGAGTCTCTTCAATTCTGTGTTTATTCCAGAAAACAGCAACTGCATTGGTCAGACACAGCTCACATGGGTCCCTACAGCATTTGTTTATCTTAACTAATCTATCTTTAACCGCAGAGCCAAGAGTTTATATAAAAATATATTGATAATTAGTAAGTTCAGTTCAGTTCAGTATAGCCTTAGCCTAGTCTTTACTCTAGATCTAATTTCCATAAAGATCTCTATAATATTTCAATCGATTTGCATAGCTTTAATCTCAATCCACTCTCCTTGCGTATTTATACATTACTTCGAGAATCAATTGACATATTTCATATCATAACGCATCGTAATTATGTCAGCAAGCGAGCGAGATTTATGTCTTCTTCTAGAAAGCAAGGGGTGATCTTACTCCAGCAGCAACGACAGCTCGCACCACATGTGGTAAATAGCTAATTAAAGACTTGATGACCCCTTTTTATGCTCTCTGAAAGAGAACTGCTCATTGAAAGAGGGAGTTTCGGTTGCTTGTCAATGCAAGTAATAGACAGGAGAAGAACTGGAAGCGACCATACAGTATATAGATTCTTGAACAATATGATACTATGTATGATCCAAGTATACTACATCCTGGTTATCGGTGCATGAGATTTCTGTTTGTGTCTGGTTTGAAATGAGTCGATTAGTGAAATGATAAACTGGGAAATCTCATCTAGTAACTATTTTAAAAATAGTATTTTTATTTTCGTAACATCGATAAATATCAATATTCGTAAATTAGTTATTTTATGCTGCTAATCATACCAAATTCTCAGAATGAATATCAATATATAAACCTATTTCCGAATTAGCATACCTCCCTCATGTTGAAGCAATTATCATAACAATCATTCATACAGAAGCCGAGTTCAATCAATCACAGTGGGTAGTAAAAGTAGTAAGAACAAGTATTGCTAATGCATAAATGCTTGGAATCGCGTGGGTTCTCTCTTTTCAGACATGATTCAGACTCAGATCAGTAGCTCTAGGCATATTTTAGGGCAGCATCTAGCCAAGCACTCCTAACTAGAACACTCTAACTTAATTACATATGCCTTATGTCCGTCCATTTGCCCCGCCGATCCATACGATACACAAGTGCTGCCCGGGCGACAACAAATGAGATACAGAGCTGTTGTAATAGATTTGCGTATCGTGGCTGGCTGGGCGGACAGCTGCCACGCCTCAGCATATTGACAGTTCATCATACATAACGAAATGTTTTGCTTGAAACTCTATGGGGAAACTCTAGCTACAAATGACTCTGACATATGTTGCAACTTCAATTGACACGCCCCTCGGCTGCTGCTGTCAGCTAGATTTTTCAAGACTGACAGCCAGAAGCACAAAATATGTCACAGATAACATTGCTCAGATGCCAGCAAACCCAACTATCCATAAATATCATTCGAGATATGAAAATTGCGTAAAGTTTTTCCTTTCGTCAAGTTGAGTGAAAGTCTTTTTCCAGCCGCCGTGCGTAATAGCCGGGCGCACAAATGCGGAATTGTCTACGCGCTCCATAAGATACAACTAATCACTTCAGTGCGCTGCGGGACCAACGCAACGGGTTCAGCGAAAACCAACACAACAACAACAACAACAAGTTCAAGCAACAGCAACAATAGTGTGTTCCAGTCGGAAGGGTTCGACTAGGAGATACTTGCTTGCATATAATATAGGATATATAGGAGCATGTGGACTATGCATATCTAGGCACATATATAATATGATTCAGAAAAATTATTTTCCGATCTATTTCCATTTTGGGATTGTAGTGAAAGTATATAAACTGTTGTGAAATACTGAAGACTTTTCTATAGATCTTTGAAGAGCTCTCTTAAATTTACCGAGTTATGCTGAAATAAGAGAAATGAAAGTTATCGAAGATTTTGAGCCAACTTGAGCACTATTCACATCCCATATAACCTATACACTCTATATTATGTATATACAATATATATAAAATCACAAAGCTAATATGCTCCTTTTAGCCTCATAAACGAGCATAAACTGCGTCAATTGGCCACACACATAACCATTTATGTATATACATATAATGGAAAACGTTTCCCAATCAAACACACATAAACTCGCAGAGCCAAAACTCCAGCTCTGATATTTCATTAGAGTTCCAACCGGTTTTTGGCACTCACCCGTAGTTTTCACTTTGGCCAGCGTCATCAAACGAAATGAAGATTGAAGATCGTACTTAAGATACAATAATTGACAAGTCTCCAAGACCTCCAGCCACAAGACAAGCGACAACAAATTGGTTAACTCCAAACTCCACTCAGCTGACTGTGGCTAATGGAGTTTTTTCTTTTTCGAATAAGTCAAAGTGTTTTCACATGAACAGTAATCGCTTGTTAAGCACTTGACAGGCTCAAAAAGTAAAAGTGAGTCCGACTAGGAGATGCCCTAAAGCATTAAAGCCGAAAATATATATCAAAGTCATCCATGTATCCAGATGATCTATCTCTCTCCTCTTAGTTGATGATATTGAATATTGAACAACGTTATGAAATAAGCAGATACCGGGAGACTTTACACTTGATCATCGCCAGCAGAGGATCACGTTTTGTATACATTGCTTGAATATCATGTAATTCGCAACTAAAATCAATCAATACTGAGTAAAACTAATCATAAAGACTCAGTGTAGTTCGAGAAACTCAGCAAACTGATATAATGATAAATGTGCAAATGGGCAGGTTGAAGTTCATACTTTAATATATGTACATACATACGTCATATATACAGATATATATCATATTGGGTCGATCACCCTTCCCTCCGCCTCTTGCATACATTTTAACCATACTTTATTATTATTCAGTTCTCTTTACCCAGATAGATGATGACAATAGCTATCATATATTATTATATCATAAATTATATACTACATAGTGCAGTATAATATCTAGTAAACATGACTAAAAATAAATCCAGAACTTCATACAAATAGTTACATATTATGGCTAGAAGCTCGACTACCTTCACGCAAGCATGAACGATCACGTGGCTTATGGTAATATTAACTATAATCATTGTATCGATGCAAATCAATAGACTTAACGATCTGACGTAGTTTTGATTCCCTAGACAATAGCCAGCTGCATGGCTCGTGGGCGCCCATGACACAGCTGTGACTAAGCCAAGATTGGAATTGCATTAGCTGTCGCCACTTGGCCAACTGAGCGCGAGCCAAGCGCAATACAGAAGAAGAAGAGGCGAGTTCCATGGAAATGCGAAGCGTGGCAATCATTTAGTAATTAGCAGGTTGCATGGGAAATCTCATGATCCACTGCGAATGCAATATAATATATAGAGAGATAGATATATGCATATATAGGCAACACTGACCTACCGCAAAAGCAAAGACGAAATGCTCGCTAGAGATTATCAATGTTTATTATTGTTGTTATTAATATAAAATGAATGAACATAGAATTCCGCCTTGATATAGGCTAGGAGAGTATACAGTAATACAATATAAATGGAGCTTAGAAAACTTTTTACTTAAACCAAAAACAAAACTTGTCTTAAACTTCGAATTTATCTAAGCAGCGCAGTCGCGCGACTGATAGAACAATATATAGCCCGTTTCGGAGGACTTGTGTATGTCCGAGGTGAGGCCGTAGAAGTCCTCAATGGTCGAAGCCTCGATTTTGTCAACCATGTCGTCATCGAAGAGCAGCCAAAGCCCGTGACTCTTGACAATGCTTATGTAATGGCCACGATTCGGGCCCGAGCCGCAGTGTATGACGACTGCGGTCAGATCGTAGAGCCTATCCGGATTGACAGCGTCGTCCGAGGTGTTGAACAGCCGCAACTCAAGCGGAAAGACCACCCGATGCGACACCTTGATATGCCGATTGAATTGCTCCATGTACTTGAAGCGCTTCAGGTGCAGGGCCAGTATCATGGGCAGCTTCTTGACGCGCATTCGCTTCTGCGCCTCCTGGTAGCTACAGCAGTTGTCGCACTTGAACTTGTTGTCCGAGCAAAGGGTTTCCGTGTTGCTGAAGCAGCGCAAGCAATGCGTGATCGACGTGTTCTGGTCCACGTCCACCTGCAGATCGAAGAAGTTCTCGTCCTTGCTGCTCACGGTCTCGCAGTTCAGACAGCGCGTCTCCGACGTGAGGATCCCCTGAAAGATCTCGTGCACCCAGGTGGGCTCCGTGTTGGCTCCATTCGTCTGACCGATTGGAGTTGTGGTCGCTGTGACGCTGCCACTGCCGTCCAGAACGCTCAGCGAGCCCGTCGAGTTGCTGCAATTCCCGTTTGACGTGGAAGTCGATGTGGAATTGGATGAATTGGAGTTCGAGCTGGATTTCGCATTCGCCGCATTCCCATTGCCCGGAGCTGCGCCGCCGGCCAGGACCGGCACACCCGACGACCCGGCAGCCGGTGTCTTGCCACTGTTGCGTTCGGCCAGGATTATTTCATTGATGTGATTGATCAGAAAGTTGAGAAACTCATGGGCATCCTGCTGCATATAGTTGTCGAACTCCTCCTTCTCCTTGCGCAGCCGCGTGATGAACTTCTTCGGCGCTATCGAGCCGACCTTCTTCTTCTGCGTGGCAATGCTATAGAAGAGGTCCGCCAGGCAGGAGAGCAGCGTTTCCTTGGGCCTCTTGTTCTTGGCCTTGTACTCGAGCACCTTCTCGCGAAACGGCTTGCAGAAGTAGAGCGCCTGCAGCACCGAGTTGCTATAGCATGTGTTCCCGAAGTTAACCAGCCCGAAATAGTGCTCGTTGGGCGGGAACAGTTCGGAGCCGATCTCCCGCTCCAGCTGCGATACGTTGGCGCCCATGGTAGCTAATGGCGCTGCCGCGGCACAGCGGTACAGAAAACCCCACACTGTGTATGCTTACGCGTTTTCTCGTTTGGTTAGCCGATTCGATAAGTCGATAGGTGGCATTAATCGGTTATCGTTATCGTTATCGAAAAATGTGTTATTGTTATCTTTCTCTTTTTCTCTCTGTCTCTCTCTCTTTCTCTGTATCTCTCTCTCTATTGAGCCTATTCAGCTCGACTCGACTTTTCTATAGAGATCTTTTTTTTCCTGCCAGCCGCGCAAAACACTTTTCTATTTACTTTTTCTTTATATTTTTTTTTCGTCTGAAAATAAATAATTTTGAAGAGGGGAATCACGTGAGTTTCTTTCGCATAAACACAAACAACAAAAATAATAAAAATATTTAAGGTCTACTTTGCTTTCACTTGCTCCTTCCTTTCGTTTCATTTGCTTTGTTGTTGTTCATCGACATTTAAAACTAAGATTTTGTAACTAATACAAAAAAAAAAAACAAAGTAGTTTTAATAACTAAAACGGGAAATGTAAAAAGAAAATTTTGGATATGCAATATTCTCTACGCAAAAATCCCCTCTCAAAAATATATTTTCAAACATTTCATTTTACAATTTTTTCAATTTGTATTTGCAAGTTTTTAGAATTTTCATTGATTTTCCTGTTAGTTGTCAAAATATATTCAAATTTATGGCAGAATTGTATATGTATGTATGTTAAAAGCAAAAAAAAAATATACGTAAAATGCAATAAGAAAATTAATGTTAATATATCGCTCTCATCGGGACTGATTTTTAATCAGTGTCCAAATGAGTTTTCCTCTTAGACTTGATGTCTCTATGTGGTCAAACTACGCCTCAGAAGCAAAACCGAAAACTCGATACTTATCGATATTTATCGATATTCTTGTTTTAAGTCAAGAGAGCAGTGAGTTCAAATGGACTTGTCCTGACTAGAAATATATTTCGTTTATAGGATTTGACTCTCCTCTTTCTGTTTGCCCATTTTGATAAGGTTTAGCCCATAAGAAAATATACATATTAAATGCTCTCGTTATACATTTAGTTGCATTGTAAAACCGTGAGTCATGGCCAATAGCTAATCGATACACTTTGCATGTGATATTGGATCTATTGAAAGTCGCTCTTGGATGACTAAATGTACTAAAATAGTATTATTTTTAATGACAGTAAACGGCTAGAGCCGGTGACTTTTCTTTTCTGTCGAGAACCGTTGGAAGTGCTCTGGGAAATTTCCGAGCGATTGCAACACGAATCACTGACGTGCGCCGATCTTACATCTGGCTACGTGTCGTGTGCCGTGGGCAATGCACTCGACACCTAGACGCGACTATAAAAGTCAACGTACGATCATTTCTTCAAATCAATCCACAGCTAATAACAAGTCAACAAAGTACCAGAGACACAAGTGATAAGCTAAACGCTAAGCTTCAACAAAATCCCCCAGCCAAGCATCAGCTAAAATTTCCGCAAGGACCAACAACACAAGCCACTACTAGTAGAGACTTTTCTCCAACAGATCTTCAGAACTTCATCGCATTGGAGCAAACTTCCTTGACTCTCGCTAACAGCCAAATTTATGCTGTACTCCAGAAAGGAATCAACGACAATTACGATCGGTGTCCAGCCGAGACAGTAAACCATCTATCCGGAAAACTACTAAAAATTCTGGCTTAAGCTCAGCAAAATATGTTTGTTTGTTAAACATATTCTTGACTTATAAAGGCATCGATTACAATTACGAACGGTGTCCAGCCGAGACAGTAAACAATCTATCCGGAAAGCTACTGAAGATACTAGCTTAAATACCAAAAAAAAAAAAAAAGAAAAGCAAATACGTTTATTTGCTAAAAATATTCTTAAGTTATATAACTGATACTGATGAAACCAAATAGTGATAAATTAATAGTTCGCCTGTAAAATTTTAAGTTCATATTATTAATGACTAAATATGATGCCACAAAATAGGCTTTAAATAAATTACATAAAACCAATTTAGTGTTTTTTTAATTTGACTCAAATATTCTTTAATTAAATGAACAATCAGCCATAAGCCTGCATTTCCATCTTCTCAGCGGGGGCGAAACCCATTTCCGACGCTTTCCTCATTTGCCCAACGAAATTCCCAGTCGATTGAGAGCTACTCACTTTCAGCCTTGATGAAATTAAACTGATCAAGTGAAGCAAAGGCATACATTTGGATTATATTAGCCATCAAAGTTTACTGATCTTCAACTAATTAAAATCAAGTCTCTAATATGTTGAAAACGTATACTAAATCATAATTGTTCTACTGCTTGATTGTTGTTGCCTGCCAGTCTGAGATTCGAAATTCGGGAATTCATCGCACTCTTTCGTATATACCCTCTTCTAAAATAGTTCCTATAATATCAAGTTGAGCTCATCTCCAAAAATTCTTCACAACACATCATGTTTCATGTTCAAACTTGCACTTGTTCCAGGGGAGCCCTGGATTAAAGCTCGCTGAAAAATAGAAATTTTGAGAAACTTTAGATGAAAGTTGTACTACAAATGTTCCTTTTGGCAAGAGCAAATGGTGGAGCGGCTGGCCAAAAATATAATAAAATATCTTTAAAGTCTAACACAAAGCCAATCTAGTATCAGAGACATTTCCATATTTATCTAGGCATTTTCCGCATAGAGTACCAAGTTTTCAATTTATTTATTGTCCCTACACTCTACTACACTCTCCCTAGATTCACCGGCAACTCGCCTAATTAGTTCTGGATTTTTTCCCGAAACTCCATTCGACTATTGAACTGTTTTGGATTTTCGCGCCCAACGTCGAACTTGTTCGATTTCAAGGGGTATTTCTATGAATTGCTAACGAAGCATCGAAGACTATAAAACTTGCTGAGCTGTGAATCGAACGAACAGTTCACCAGCAACAATGCAGCCAGCTGTAAGTATTAAACTGATTAATCAATTATAGCGCAGACTAAAGGCCTGCACGAATGCATTTGAAACGCTAAACGAGACACTCGTGTTTTGGTAGTTAAAATTGACATTTAAATCCATAATTTAATTAATCATGCCTAATTAATTAGCCAATTCTAGCCTGATTTTTGCACAGCAACGACGCTGAACGCGCAATAAAAGTACCGTACAATTTTTTTGACGTTACTCGCTTTTCGTTTCGTTTGCACTTGCAAATATCAGTATAATTATATTCGATTTATTTATGACTTCTCTAGATTTTCTATACGATTGTGTTGTTGGGATTGGGATCGGGGGCAACAGAGGCACGCCCATTTAACAGTACAACAGAAGATCACTCGATCACATCTGGCGCAAAGACTAAGTCGAAAATTGGAGTTCATATGGATATCTCTGAGGATATGGCAGTTGATAAGGAAAGAACAGTGGAACCCTTAATGCCAAAGTCTGCAACAATAAGCCCCAGCCTAAAGGTCAGAGCTCAACAAGAAAACGATCGGAATACAGCAGTTGATAAGGAAACAACAACAACAACAAGCCCAGTAAAAGCCAAGTCCTCAACAATTGTCCCAACCCCAACGATTACGATTCAGCAACGGATTGATGCGGATGCAGCAACTGTAAGAAATACCCTAATGGAGCCCATAGAAGCCAAGTCTTCTATGACCAACCCCAGCCCGAAGATCAGCGCTGCAACAGTGTTGAATAACGGCAAATCCAGTCAAAGCAAGACAGCAGTGGAAACCTTTAAGTCTAGTTCCGCATCAACAACAACAACTGATGTGACACCGCTTGGAATCGAGCCCAGATTGAGTGTTACGCTCTTAAAAATTCTAGCACGTTACGGATAAGTTCATTCACAATAATAATGTCTTTAATCAGATAAAGCCAATTACATATGTCAATTAGCTGCATTTCGAATGGGAATTATCTAAGAGCTTACATCAATTATATCAGAATGTACTTAATATAAGTCTATACAGTATTAAAGTGTAAACTTTTCCAAATGTCTACGTGAGGGGAAACCCTCAGTATTTAAATTGCGCCGCTATTGGTGTTGCTGTTGCTGTTGGTAATCAAAATAGTTATTCGTGTCAATCTTGACTCTCGCTCAATGCAATCGGAAAATCGAGCTCTCAACACCAACACAGAACAGGTGGGACTAAGGCAGACGGGCATAAGCGACTGCAAAATGCTAGTTTATGTTATCAAATATAGTTACACTTATGGAACTGATAGAGATTTATGCCAGTAGAGTTGATCAGGGTTGTAGATCCTAACTATAATAAATACAACTTTCTTCTCTATTTCCCAAAACTCCTTTAAATATATAATCACTCTAGAAACTAGAAACTGGATCAATTGTGTGTGCTCTAGATTAGTAATTCCCCATTTGCCATGGGCATTCTCAAACATCTGAAGCTTTTCAGTACACATATTGAAACGTCAAGACTCTGGCTAGACCTCACACAAACTGCATCACAATCAATATACCCCTTTACCCCTCTGAGCGAGCATCAGTACATTAGCTTACGTTAGAGAACTTGTTTATGTGATAAAACCGTAGAATAAACAGTGCGGAATGGCTAGCTCATTCAATAATTTCTGATTCCGAGTGTCTCAATTGCAACCGGTCCAACTAGTTTGCATTACTATATGGAATCACGATCAGTAGATATATTGCTCGGCATATATCAAATATGGATAAACATTTTCAGACACGTTTAGTGCATTGTAAGAGCTTCAACTAGAATGTTGAAGGGAATCGCAGTGAGTATGCAATTGTGAATTGTGAATCGAGTTGTGAAATTAGTTCGAATATGAATATTTCGCAGTTATTGTGCTTCTTGCTGTTGCTGTGCGGGTACATCAAGCATAATTATGCCGCGACTAAAGTATTTTACGAATTTCAGTAAGTTTAGTTAACATTTTAGTAAATGAAATAAAGTAATTCTCTACTGACATTTTTAGCATACGTGAACAGAACACTGAACGCAATGAAACGGTGCTAAACACTCCAAACAACAATAAAACAGAAGCCAAGCCCGATTTGATTATAACAGGCAAACACACCTCGAGTGTCCTGCTGAATGGCAAGGATGAAAACTCACCCAACAGCGTCTATACGGAGACAGCTTTCTACACAGCCGACGATAGCGGCTATCATGTCACCTACAACGTAAGCATCCAGCCAGCTGTACTGGACCCACAGCTCAACGGCGTAACCCTAAAAGTGATCGTAGGCTAACGGCAATTGAATGTATTACACAATTGTCTATAAATGGGAGCAGGGAGTTACAATATACGAACAACTAATGTCGGAAGATTATAATTATTTATTCAAATAAACCAGTTCAACAGACTGAGCATGTTTTACAGTAGTTGAAAATCTTACTTTCTAAATGAATATCGTAAACGATCTGCATGTATCGTAAACGATATTCACATAATCATATTTACTTATCATATATAGATACACATATGGGGTAACAGTACCCATCTATCATAAGCGGATTAATTATACCGATACCAATTTGCATATATCGTATACGATATTCATATATCGTAGGCGGAATGAAATGATTTGCATACTTTGTCAACAATATTCTAATAACTTAAGCAACATTCACATATCGTATACGATATTCATATAGTAAAATTATTTTCTTACCGTTTGTGAAGTTTCTTTTATTGCTGCGTTGCCCTTCACACAATGCTTGTAACAATTTCTAGTCAAACACTTTTAAGGCAATTCCGAATGAGCTACCAGAGGCTGCTTCAATTAGAGAGGCCGGTCGTTGAAAGTGTTACAGAAATTTGAGAAAAATAAATCTATTGTTTTTCCTGCAAAGAGACAACCAAAATTGTAAATAAGGGATACATTAATTAGACGTAAATAGTAGATAAACAAATAGCTTAAATGAGGAAAACACAAATTTTCATTATTCACTCATTCACAATTTCTCGGTGCTCGCTCGTATGTAAAACGATCCCAGCCTTGGCCAGGGCAAAGCAACTGAGAAAGTCATAGAATCATTCGAACTAAAAGCGAGAGGCAGTGCAAAATTATGAAAACAAGAAAAGCAAAGCAAGTGAGAGTGCTCCAGGCGAATAAGCCCGACTACCAGATACCCTAAGTCTCAGTCAAAGCTGTCCTTGCAATCAGCCTGGACTTTATGTATTCAAATGGATATCCAAAATCGAGAATATAAAATATCCCTGAGAAGAATCTAATATCGCGTTTTCTATAAATAAGAAAACGAGATTACATATTGATAGAACTAAAATAAGAATTTAAAGATGTTTCGTTCCTTCGACCAAATCAATTTACTCCTTTTGCACTCTTTCAATGTTTACAGGGTAAACACCACATACTACCTTGTGGGTCAAGTGCGCGAGAGCCAACGAACAAAAATAATAAACAAACAAAAACAGTGATGCTGCCCGGCCCGATCAAGTGAGAGTGAGAGAGGAACAGCGAAATGAATTGGGTCAGCGGGGTTATTAAAATGGAGAGCAAAAAATTTGTTGCAACGGTTAATAAAGCTAATTAATTAATCAAGCGAGCAAACTGACGAGACTGACGAGGCAAGGGGGGCTGGCGAGGCGGTCGACGATAAGCAGTTGTCGCCGCCGCCCCAAGTCAAAAATCGACGCAAAGCTCAATTCGAGCTTAGTTTTCTATCAGCAACTAAACGGAGCGCATCAGCAATACGAGAATGGATCTTAGCAAGCAGCTGCTGGTGGGCGTGGCGCTACTGACGCTGGCCTGGAGCACTACCGGGGCGTATCCTGCGGCGAACAACTACACGACGGACATACTGCGCCTGGCCAAGGCAGCGCACATCAAGGCCTACCTGAGCACGGGCGAGCCGAGGCCGTGCGAGAACTTCTACAACTTTGCCTGCGGCAATTGGCCGCGCCTGCATCCCGCGCGGCTGCACAACAAGAAGACGAACTACCTCGAGGAGCTGCAGGAGCTGTTCGTGCGCAAGAGCGCGGACATGCTGAAGAGCAGCAAGACGAGTGCCGACAGCAGCGCCGATCGCGTGCTGAAGCGATTCTACGTCTCCTGCCACGCCCAGGCGAACGACACGCGCTCGGCGCTGGAGGCTCTGCTGCAGGTGACCGACTTCCGCGGCGGCTGGCCAGAGATTCGAGTGCCGTCGTGGTACTACTACGAGTACGATTGGCTGCAGGCGGTGGCCATGCTCAAGCGGCGCCTGGGCGTCAATATATTCATTGGCCTGGACGTGGTGCTCGACTACAAGGAGGAGAACATGCATCGGCTCAAGATCGGCGCGCCCCAGCTGCCCCTGGGCCAACGCCGTCAGTACCTGGACTCGGCTTTCCACGAGGCACGCGAGCGCTACGAGGAGGCCATTCGCCAGAAGCTCGAGGGCTACTTCCCACAGCAATCGGAGCGCTGGCAGCACGAGGTCGCCGCCCAGGTGCTGCAGATCGAGCAGCAGCTGGCCAAGGGCTTGCCCCACAATCCGGCGCTCACGCTGGAGCAGACAACGCGTCTCCGCACAGCGGCCGAGATGAAGGCGGCCTACGGCAGCTACGTGGACGTGAGCCGCTACTTGCAGATGATCTACAACGACACCCTGTACGTGGATCTGTACGAGACGCCGGAGGACTACATGTCCAACCTCGTGGATGTGATACGAAACACGCCAAAGCTCCACCTGGCCAACTACACGATCTGGCGTGCCCTGGACACGCTCGACCAGGCACGCGTGCCGCTCAACGCTCAGCCGGGCATCTGGTGTGTGCAGCTGGTGCGCCAGTACTTCCCACAGCACCTGGAGAGCCTCTTCCATCGCAACTTCAACAACATGCAGATGATCAACGAGCTGCAGTCCACCTGGGCGGACATCAAGCGCGTCTTCCGCGAGGATCTGCAGGCATCCACCAATCTCCACTGGCTGACGCTCGAGACCCGGCAGAAGGCCATTGCCAAGCTGGAGGCCCTGGAGCTGCAATTCCGCAACCACGACGACACCCAGCTGATACGACAAATGCACGGCTTGAATCTGCACCAGGATCAGTTCTATGCGAACCTGGTCAAGGTTCTGCAATGGCGCACCCAGCGACATCTGGCGAAACTCGTCGAGGAGCCGCGGCTGACGGACAAGGTGTACAAGGTGCCGCACTACGAGCTGACCACCAACAAGATGCAGATCCCGATCACCTTCCTGCAGGCCCGCTTCTTCTGGGATCCCGTCTACCCAAATGCCCTGAAGTACGGCACCATCGGTGTGCTGCTGGCCCGCCAAATGCTCCACGGCTTCGACGACGTGGGTCGGCGCTACGATCGACACGGCTATCGCAACAACTGGTGGGACCTCACCTCGGAGACTTCCTACTTGCGTCGCGCCCAGTGCTTCCAGGAGCAATACGCCGTCTTTGTCCAGTTCAGAGACAAGCCCGTCCAGGACAAGGGACTGCTCAGTCGAATCGTGGCCGATAACGGCGCCCTAAGCATCGCCTATCGCGCCTACTCCAAGTGGCTGAGGAACTCGGCTGAAACATCGGCAACTTATCAACGCGAACGTCTGCCCCTGCTCGAACACACAGAGAATGAGCTCTTCTTCTTGGCCTATGCTCAGCTTTACTGCTCCGACTATCCCGAGTCCGTGGAGCTCTACGAGGAGCTACCAGAGCCGTTCCGCGTAAATACGGCTCTTTCCAACTCTGAGCAGTTTGCACAGGCCTTCAGCTGCTCCAAAAGCGATAAGCTCAACGCTCGCTTCAAGTGCGCACTCTATTAAAATGTTTGCCCAGACATCATTTTTCTATACACACACACACACACACACGTACACATACGTCCACATATTAATATATATATGTACTAAAATTACAATAAAGCTATGCACATTTTAGACTCTTCTTGATTTTATAGGGAAGAGAGGGCATATTGAAGATGTTTGCCAACCTGATCGTCTCTCTCTTTCTCTCTCTCTTTCTCAAATAAGATATCTCGTAAACTCTAAAAGCTATAGACCTGTTAAGTAACACAGGGTATCTATTTATTAGTCTGCTCAGACTTTGTTGCCTCTCGCTCAGCACATTTCGTCGTGTTTGCTCTCCCGCTCCCCATGATAACCTCGGCATGAACTACGGCGCTCTTATCAGACTCTGTTTGAGGCCGAGCTCTGCGGCGAGCGTTGTCGGTAGTAGTTGAGAGCAACTCAAAGATGCAGCAGCATGTTAGAGTCTGGCTATACAACGGTTCTGCTCGCGCTGGCGCTGATGCTGCTGCTTGCTGCAGCTGGTCAAGCACCTGGCGATGATAGCGTTGGCTTTCAGCGGGTCTATCAGACGGAGGAGACGGTGCGCCAGAGCAAGGCGCAAGAGATGCGTCGCCATGTCAATCTGCGCGCCAATCCCTGCACAGACTTTTACGAGTACGCCTGCGGCAATTGGGAGACAGAGGCGACGCCGCAGCTGAGGGTCGAGCATCGCATCAGTGCGGAGCTGCAGCGCCTGCTGGAGGAGTCCATGCACCGCAAGGACAGTGGGCTAGTGCGCCAGGCCAAGGAGTTTTATCAATCGTGCCTGATTGCCGAGGCGCAGCGCAGCCAGCAGCAGGTCTTCCTCAGCGAGTTCATACAGCAGAATGGCGGCTTTCCGGCGGTGCCAGGCGCCAAGTGGAGCGCGTATAATCGGGACTATAATTGGGCGCAGGTAGCTGGAAAATTAAGACGGCACTACGGCATGGACATCTTGATTGGACTGCGTGTTAGCTACAATTACGCCAGCGTGCAGGAGAACAGCATCTACCTCAGCGAGCCCTCGACTCTGATACCCAGCGAGCTGTGCAGCAAGCGTCGTCTCAATAGACTCGATGCGGCCTATGGGGAGCTCGAGCGCCAGGTGACGGAGCAGCTGCGGACCTGGCTGGCCATGGGCAATGAGGAGTCGGCTCGATTGGCAGCCGAGATAATTAGCTTCGAGCTCGAGCTATGCGACGGGATGCAAGGCCTCGAGCCATGGGATGCTGAGCTGCATCTGTACTCGACCAACTTCACGCGCAAGACTCTGGCGGAACTGGGGCAGCTGTTCGGCCTGGATTTCGAGACCTACGTGACGAACGTCTATGAGCAAACGGTCTTCAGGCCCGTCTACATGGCAGCGCCGAGCTATTACCGTCAGCTGCGGCGCACGCTGGGCACACGCAACGGCACTCAAATAGCCAATTACATAATATATCGGGCAGTCGCCGCGTTGACATTTCCGCTCGGGGATACGCCGGAGCACAGGCCGGCCCTCTGCTTGGACAGAGTTAGGCAACTGCTGCCCAGAGCGCTGGGCGAGCTCTATGCGGCGCGCTACGCCCTGGAGGAGTCGAAGCAACAGCAGCTGCTGCAGCTCTACGACCACCTGAAGGAATCACTCAAGCATAGCGTCAGCGCCGAGTGGCTGGAGGAGGGCAGTCGACGCATCGCCCAGCGCAAGCTGAGTCTACTGCAGCTGTCAATGCCCAGCTATGAGCAGCCGCTGATACTGAAGCTTCAGTTCGAGCGCCACAACTACTGGCACAATCTGCGACAGCTCATGGAGCAAGTGCAGCTGCAGCAGCAGAAGCGGGAGGCCGAAGAGAACCTGCCCCTGCCCACTGATCCAGTTGAGGCGTACGAGACACGCGTGGTCTATCGGCCGCTGCAGCGGCGTCTGGAAATGGGCTGGGCGCTGCTACAGCCCCCGGAGTACGACGAGCGCTACGGCCACGCCCAGCGCTACGGCACGCTCGGCGTTAGCCTAGCCCGTCCGCTGGTCTCCGCCTTCGATGAGCTGCACTGGTCGACGGGCTTGCTCGAGCACGACAACTGGGACAGACTGACCGCCTGGAGGTATCACAACCGCAGTGAATGCTTCGCTCGCCAGGTCGAGGAGTACCTGCAGCGCAACGAGACCGCAACGAAGCAGCTGATAAATGACAGCGCCGCCTTAAATATCGCCTTCAATGCCTACCTCAACTGGCTGAGTCTGCAGGCGCCCAACAACGACTTCGTCCGGCTCTCCAAGGAGACTCTGCCTGGCCTCAACTACTCCAACACGGCGCTCTTCTTCCTCTCCTTTGCCCAGCAGCACTGCCAGCCCAGGGACAGGGAACAGCGCCAGCCATGGCCCCAGCTATGGCCCACGCTCACGTACAGCGCCAGGCAGACGCACAGCTGGACCCGCTTGGCAGTGAATGGACCGTTGCGCAACTTGGCCGAATTCGCACGTGAATTCCACTGCCCACCTGGATCACCAATGAATCCATTCGACAAGTGTGTCATCTACTGAGCTAGCTTACCTGATATACCTTTATAAATGCGCCTTTAATAAAGTATTTTTTACCCACTCAATTTCTCATCATTTTCTATCAATACCCATTTAGCAAGCAACAGGAAGTGCTCGACTAGTAAATACCCTGAACTCTGAATTGAGTTGTTACAATCTGTTCCAGGTTTCTGCTATATGCATTATCAGCGCTTGCGCTTGGCCTTCCCACAACATGAGAATTTGTTTAGCTGAACTTGGATTCTACACGATTGAACTGTAAACATTTTTGAGAACTTGAATCTCTAATCTTTAATATTTGAAAAGGAGTTCGATTCAAAATATATGTAGAAAATATGGAGGTTTTATCCATGCATTCAAAACGAATTCTTATTAAAACATTGGATCTCTGCATCTTAAATATTCTTCAAGCTATCGATATTTATCGATATTTGTAATTAATTGTTCTTCAAAATGTCTTATGATTTATCTTTGCATTCGCAACCAAATTATATACATTTGATATATCTAGCTTTAAGGTTCTTCAAGCTTTGCTGATATCGATATTTATCGATTGATTTAATCTGGCATAATTTATCTAAAGCAAATGACAAAATTTTTAATGCACTAAGTAATCAAGAACACATAGCAGAACGACTGACGGACGCACAAGCCGCCCCAACAAACGATAGATCTGATTGATTCTCGCTTTCGATAACAGTTACATTCATTGAGAGCCAGCGACGTGCGAGGTCGACGTTTGTTTGCTTCTCTTTGGCTTTCGAAGCGCTCGTCTCTTTGGCGATAACCCCAGGAACCAGAACCGGGAGTACATTGAGCGCACACTTGACCCCAATTCGTCAAGTTCATGAGCGGAAAATTTATACGACTAAGCAATGCTTATCAATCCATCAAACAGAGCTGGAGCTGGCTCAGTTGATTCTAGAACGCTAAAATGAGAACTACACGATTTGCACAGATTTTTGCGCTCTGCCTGCTTCAGCTGGCCAGGACAGCTTCTGGAGCTGGACCCACGTACAGGTACAACAACATCAACACGAATCGGGGCGGCGCTGCTGCTGCTGCTGCCATGCACATTCACGGGCACGGCCACAGCAATAGCCACAGCAACAGCAACAACATTGTGGACAGTCGCCAGGAGCAGAGAATACGCCAGAGCATGTCCAGAGATATGCTCAAGTATATGAACCTGAGCTCAGATCCCTGCGCCGACTTCTACGAGTACGCCTGCGGCAACTGGGGCCGTTATCACACGCGTCAGCTGCGCGAAGGTGAGTTGATAACGGCGCAGCACTTGATGGAGGCCCGCATCGTGGAGCAACTGCAGCAGCTGCTGACTCTTCCCCTGTCGGCCAACGACCTGAGTCCGGTGAGCGCTGCGAATGTGCGGAAGGTGCGCAGCTTCTACGACTCCTGCGTGGCCGTGGAGGCCAATGCGGCGGAGCGCCGCCAATTCCTGATGAAGGTCCTGCGGGAGCACGGCGGGCTGCGGAATGTGGCGAACTCCCATTGGAAACACGACTACCACTGGCTGCAAATGCTCGCCTCGCTGCGGCGCAACTATGGGCTGGACATACTGATCGGATTCGATATCGATCTCAATCTGCAGCAGATGAGCGGCAACAGTGTCTACCTGGGCGAGCCTCGGCTGACCATCATTCCGGCGGAGCACTGCAACGCACTCGCCACGCGGCAGGCGAACGTGCGCGACGAGGTCTACGAGCAGATCCAGCAGCAGGTGGCGGACAACATGCGGGATTGGTTCGAAATGGAGAGCGGCGAGGCGGCGCGCTTCGGCGGCGACATCATTCGCTTCGAGTTCGAGCTGTGCAAGCGCATGCGCGAGCAGGAGACACTGCCTCCAGTGGAGGCCAGCAGTCCGGAGGTCCCGCCCGTCTACAGCGGACGTTCGCGCGTCGGGCAGGAGCGACTGCGCCAGCAGCAGCCTGGCGGCAGTCCGCAGTACCCGCGCATGAAGCTGGTCGAGCTGACCACCAAAATGGGCACCTGGCTGGACTTTAAGCTCTTCGTGGAGAGTATTGTGGAGACCGGTTATCCGGACTACGTCTACCTGCGCTCCCCCAGCTACCTGGCCCACCTGGCGCGCACTGCGAAGAGCAACAACCAGGTGACCATTTCGAGCTACATTCTGTACCGAGCTCTGTTCGAGCTCAACCAGCCGCCCGAGGAGCAGGCGATGATGCGTCCCCGCCAATGCGTGCGCGTCATGCAGCGACTCTTCCCCCAGGTGCTGGGCGACATGTACCAGAGGCACGTGCAGCGCGACGACGTGCAGCACGACATGGAGGATGTGTTCAGTGACCTCGTCAAGGCCTTCGATCAGCAGCTCCGGGTCGAGTGGCTGGACGACAGCGACCGGCGCACAGCCCGCACCCGACTATCCCAGTACCACACACAGTTCCCGGACTATCAGGGCGTCGACCTATCGGGCCTGCACTTCCAGAAGAACGAGGACTACTGGCACAAGCTGGAGACGACACTGCGCTACAATTCACGCGAGTATCTGAATCAGCTGCGCGGCAACGACTTCGGGCAGTTGACGGAGAACTCGCTCAACGCCTTCGAGGTGCGAGCGGCGGTGGAGCCGCGCCAGCAGGCGGTGCTCGTCGGCTGGGGCCTCATGCAGGCGCCCTACTACAGTCACTACTACCCGAAGGCCTTGAGGTATGCCCTGCTCGGGCAACGCCTGGCCGCGGCACTGCTGCAGGCCTTCGATGACGAGGGCTGGAACAGACATCCGCAAGCGACGGCGCCCTGGAACGAACTAACCATGTCTGGCTATCGCAATGTCACCGAATGCCAGCGAGCTCAGTACAGCAACTACTTGTCGGATCAGCCCAGCGAATTTCGCAACGCCACGAGACTGAGGGAAATCATAGCCGAGACTGGCGCTCTCAACGTGGCCTTCAATGCGTACTTGAGCTGGTTGGAACAGATCGACTCCAAGATGATTCCTTTGCTCATACGCGAAACACTGCCCGAGCTGAACTTCACCAACACTCAGCTATTCTTCATCTACTTCGCCCAGCTGCGCTGCTGGGCCAAGCAGAACGAGGAGCCCCCCTCAGAGGCCATGCCGCTCCTCCAGCACACGCCACAGCGTTGGGATGTCAATGGGCCACTGAGCAACTCGGAGGAATTCGGCAAGGAGTTCAATTGCCCTCTGGGCACCAACATGAACAGCGGCAATAAATGCTTGATATTCTAAGCTCAACCTAAGATAGTTGCAGTTGAAGCTGGAGTGTCTAGTGTATAAAGTCTCTGCTAGGCAATAATATCGAATAGTATGTATAATCCATTCATGCTCATTATATCTAGTTAATAGAGTATACAGCAAATACACAGATGTTTAGGCTAATTGAATTCGTCTTTTACTTGAATTTAATGGATTTTCTAGGGTGTAGCCGGAAGTGAGTATGGAACAAATAAGACCCGACTGCGAAATACTCGTCCCAGTCTCAAAGGCAACTAAACTTCTAAAAATGCGAATATTTTCTGATTGTTGAGACTTAGATACGTTGATATAATTTAGTCTAATCTCTAGCTTGTCTTCATATATATGAAGAGAAATATTTATGCAAAGCCAATATACCCGCTCCCATTTTAGGCAGCAGTATCTCAAGATTCCATAAGTATTTCTAGTTTATCGTCTTATTTTCACAAGATAGATTTTACAAATAAGATGGGTAAGACGTGAAGTATATCAGTGGAAATGATCTATGGGAATATATCGAAATTTTATTTCATAACTCAATATTTATGTCAGCAAATACGAAAAGACTTTTTCAACATAAATATAATAAATTTTTAGGGTGTGACAAGAAAAGCGATGGGTCTTACATACAGCCAACATATACATATGTTCACATATATATAAATACATATATACACGTGTATATAACTATGTCAACGTCGATGGAGGCGCAGTTGAGCGTAGCATACGATTCGGTTTCAAAGCTGAATCAAGCACTTGAACACGCACCGCCAGCCAAGATGAATGCAGAAAAAACAATATTGAGCTATGTGCATGTATATCAATATATCTCTATATATATAAGACAGATATATAAATACACCAGGCACACATGTGCTTATGTAGTGGGAGAGAAACTGCGTATGTGGGTCGTTGTTGACCTTCAACTGACAATCGATGACTTGAATGGCGACTATTGAAATCGTTTTGCTTCTTTTGTGACTCACGTACTTCCGTCTTATAAAGGATTGAATATGGATTGTATAACAAAAGAGAACAAGAAAACATATGGGGGAAAGCAACGGACCTACTCAAATTTAACAAGTTTGCAATGTTCTCTGATATGAGCAACGGTTCTTTATCAATTTACCTTTTAATCGAGCAATATAAGTCATTTAGAACAGTCGATTTAAAGAAAAGATAGAAATATATTATGTTACATATATACATACATATGTATATATGTGTTTGGGTTTATGTTTTAAATAAAACTGTGTGTGAGCGTATCTGAGTTCTTTACACTAAAACAAAAGCAGAAAAAAACTCTGTTGCCACAGTATTGAATTACGAATGGATAAACAATATGGAATCCAATTATTTATAACAACTTGTGTGAATCATATGAAAAGAAAGAATACTCGAAGCGAGAGTGCTCGACTGATAAATACTTTCAACCGATACAGCTGTTCGATGAGAATAGGGTATTGGAGTGTCTATATACTAAATTTGTTTACTCTTTAATCTATATTCATTTGAAGTTTGTTATCGACTTTCATTGCTTCCCTCGGACGGATTCTGGAAACAAGAGCAGATTGAATCAAGTCGACTCGACCACCATATGCAATGTTTTCTCAAGAACAAAAGCAAATCAAACAAAAATTCCATAACTTGAAATCGTAATGTTAAATAATATCCGTTGACATTTAATAATTTCAGCTGCATCAATATTACAGAGAAAATCTATTGAAAAGCAGCTGGAAATGCCAACAAGTGATTGTGCCAGCACCTGAGTCACTTTTTTCAGCTAACAATACGAAAGGTGCATGGAGCAGAAATAAAATAGTCTCCCGGGCTCTTCAGATAAATCAAGTAGACAAAGCCTCAAATAAATCAAACAAACCCCATGCGTAAGTTTCTCAGCAGCAGATGACCCAGTTTCCGACAGAGCCAGAGCCCCTCTGCACATAGATAGATACCCCAATGATCCCTCCTCGGAGTGATATTTGTCTGCTTCGTGCTCGCTGTTGGGGCGAGCGCAGCCACTTGAGTTTGCTATCTTGGCATTATGTATAATACGTTATTTGATTTACACATCTTTGACCCCAATGCGAGAATGTTTTACATTTATTTCTAATGACAGGGGCGCTTCTGGTTGCAGCTCTGATCAAGTGCTAAATGGGTTTGCTACCAGAGTTCATTAATCCTAAATGATGAACAAGTAGCGTTATCTACAAATATGATACTAAACAAAATGAGCTATCTGTTATGGGACATACTTTTAAAGTTACGAATACTTCACACTAGACTACAAGAACTCTTGTAGAAGAAATCAAGGGATATGACATGATTCCAAAGACTCTTGTACTCGTTCAGGGAGTGAAACGATTTTATGCGATGCTCGATGTTCGTATAGTTTTCCGGCGGGGTAAATTTGTTTACTTTGACATCAATTCTAGCCCAATACAGAAAAACTACAGGAATAAACTTGGGAACACTAACACAATATTTTCATCTATCATAAAAATCAAATTAAATTTTGTTGTACAGTGCAATCAAACATACACATATGTATGTACACACATCCACCTCGTGTGTAGGCGTCGATGACAACTCACAGACTCTTCATATATGGCCTGGATATTCAAGTATGAAAACACTTTACATTCGAGTTTGGCAAACAATGAATAAAGAAATTTATTTTGTTATTCAATTATTCGTATTTCGGATACGAATGCGAAACTTCTATTTGGCCTTAGATATTTGCATAAATATTTACACTTGGAAAAATAATTACATGAAGCCAATAAAAATCTGTGAAAAACAGAAAAACGAAATGTAAATATTGAAGTTACGCATAATTAATTCATTGAACTGAAATTAACACCGTTTCGATCCGGTTAGATGGCAGCAAAGCTATTGCGACATAGCTGAACCCCAGCCGAACGAACAGCTGGTTCATGTCAAGGTGCGAAAGAGAGACAGCGAGAGAGAGAGAGCGTCGGCGAGAGAGCTCCAGAGAGCGCGCATACATATTTGATAAAGAGAAAAATCGATTTTTCAAAACAAATTCAACTTTTTGCCACTGCCACGGGGTTGTATAAAAAAACCACTTAGTTAGTGAATGAAATTCTTATTAATTACGTTTTCAGCTGCATGCACACTTACTTAAAGAATGTATATACCGTAATCAAATGAACTCCGTTACGAATAACACTTTGCAACACACTTGGCCATTGTTTCAATTATATACACATGACTCTCGAATCGATAAAGCTCCAGCACGTAGTTTTTATAGAACTGTGCGATAATATGCATACGTATACATTTAAATTTAAACGTATATATGTATGTATGTTTAAAGAATATACATACTAAACACTTGCAAATTAATCAGTGTGCCACACACGAACTTTTCCTTGGGCACTTGCCATAGATTAGCATTAATGTTGAAATGCACTACCACTACGCACTGGAAACGAAATTCTCAACACGCTCGGAGAGAGCAAATGACAGCGAAAGACAGGCAGAGAAAGAGTGCAAACGTTGCCTTATGGTGGGATAGAGCGAGGGGCACTGCGGGTGTGGTGAATACAACGAAACGCGCCTTGTGCCCTGCATATACACACACATTGATTAATCAATACGGGCCGCAAGCAAATAATAAAATGTTATTTATGCGCTAAGAACACCAACCACTTTGTTTAAACAATAAACTTGTTGTTTTTGTTTTTATTTTTAACTAAGAAAATAATCGAATAAACGCAACGACCGTCCGAACGAATAAACCCAATAAACGGGCGACGCGCAACCGTCGCTGTGGGCCGCTGCTTTGTAACTCATCGAGGCGTTCGCGCTCGCACTCGCACTCACGCTCGCTCCACAACTCGCTGTGGCGCTGCGGCAGCATAAGCAGCGACGTCGCCTGCTCTCCAGGCGCATAACTTGACCAACATAATCGCATATGTAAGTGCAGAGCAACGGCAGAGAGAAGGAAAGAGAGAGGGAGAGAGCGAGTTCTTAGTCACCCGTTGGGTGGGAGTGCATGCAATAAAACAATGAAATTGGAACATTCTGTGTGACACACAGTCGGGCTACCTGATAAGCTACAGTTACTGTTAGCGCACCGGGAAGCCAAATATCAGAGCAGATCGTCTCGTAGTATATGTATGCTTATATAATTAGCGTTATAAATGGGCAATTTGTGCAAGTAAACAAACGATGTAGTTTGATCAATGAGTAATACATATAGGGAATACCTCCAACCAATCAACTGAAATTTCAAGAAACTTTCAATGCGCAGGCCCATAAAAATATCTCTTTGGAGCATGGAGTTTGGGGTAGCATTAAAAAAGAAAACATCCATAATATATTATTTATGTTTATATTGCATGCATAACAGTTGAATAAACTCTACACACTCTCTGCCAATAAGATAAGACAACTGTCCAATAAAGCCAGCTTTTACTGTATCTTCAATATCGAAAAATAGTAAAAGTCGTGAGAGCGAAAAATACAATTCGAAAATGATTTTTTTTAAGAGATTCGGAAAAAATGTCGACAAGATACTGTTAAATGGAAAACACAAGATAAACAGAGACGTGATAAAAACAAATGCGACACCAAAGCACAAAAGAAATCAAACAGCGGCTGCCAGAAGCGAACAAACGAATCAAAGCGGAACGGAAGCTGAGCTCAAAGCCAACCAAAACGCGGCAGCGAATTAAATTAAATCACAGCAGTGGCAGCCCCCCTCGTTCCCTCTCTCTCTATCACACACACACATGATTGATGCAGACGCCTAATACGAAATTGTTTTTGTTTCTTTTATAGCTAAATACAAAATATATAAAGTAAAACTCCAAAGACAGCCTTATACTAATTAGCAAGGCACATCAACACACACGCACACAATAAACATTCAGACACACATATGTGTTAGCAATTCACACATACACACACATACAAAGTTGCACCTACAGGTTGATTGGATGAAATTACCTCTTTTGCATTGAATTGTATTAGGCAACTATCTCGACAAACATCTGGCGGGCTGTTGTTGTTGCTGCTGCTGCTGCTGCTGAGTGCGCTGACGCTAACGGCAAAGGCAAAGGCAACGCCAACGCCTTCGCCTCTCCCACTTTGTTGTTGCGAATTCCAATCCGCTCTTGCAGTTTTCCAATGTGGGAACGTTTCGTTTAAGCTTCGTTTCGTTGCCAAAAATTACGATTTTTGTGTTGATTTTGTTGCTTCTCATGTATTTTCTTTTCTCTTTACGTGTGTCTTCCGCTGTTCGATAATTTACTTTTGAATAGTTACTTCTGCATGTGTGTGTGTTTGCAGTTATGTCAACTGTGATTGCTCTTTAATCTTCGATTCGTTTCATGTTTTGTTGTTGCAAAATTCATATGTAAATTATGGACAATGGAATGAATATACACTCGCGCCTGATTCGTTTGACGTGTTTTCGATTTGACTATATGCCACACGTAGAACAAGGCGACCGCAAACAAGAAAAGTCGTTCAATTAATTTATGTCGTCCGCAATTCGTCGTGTAAAATTTATATATTTAATACGCAAACTTTCGACGTAGTGTTGGTTTCTCTTTACTTCATCGCGGCCAGTGTGTACACCCCGACATGACTGCGATAAATAAACTCCAACTGCCAACTGTTACAATGTGAGTGTGACCAGAGCGAGATAGCTGCTGAGAGTGTAGTTGATTTCAGTACGCGAGTTCACGCAACTCAGAGAAACGGTCTCTCAGTCGGCGTCGCAGTTGCAGCAATCAGAACGGTTGTGCTCGCGTTGCCACGCAGGTATCGATAAGTTTTCGCAAAGCGGCAGGCCAGTTGTTTATTCGAAGAATGAGCAATGTTTTATTAATTATTTTCATAATAACCTTAAGCCAGGCAACATGTGAGACACAATGTGATGCAACAGGGCAATCTACCTGTATTAAAAATGAAGAAATAGAAGTGAAGCAGAATGCAAGTAAGTAAACTCAGTCTTGTTTACATCGAGTTTAGGTACTTTTCATATTTTCATATTTATTTTTAGAATTTGATAAATTCACTCGAAACATAGAGAAGGCCTTAGCCAATTATCAGCCATGCACTACGGATGCAACTGACGTCAATTGCACCTGCTACGCGGCAGGCATCAAGCGAGATCTGGCCCCATACAAATCAACAGGTTTCACCCGGAAGATGATCGAAGACGCCGCCAAATATGGCACGCGGTACAAAATCTTTGGGAAGCAGTTGTTCAGGGAGGATAACTGTATGTTTCCGGCGCGCTGTCAGGGCATCGAGCACTTTCTGCTCCAGCTGCTGCCGGAGCTAAAGAACATGGATTTAGTGATCAACACTCGAGACTATCCACAGCTGCATTCGTCCTGGCAGCACAAGGGACCCGTTTTCTCGTTCTCTAAGACTACAGAGTATCTGGATATCATGTACCCCGCCTGGACCTTCTGGGCGGGTGGTCCGGCCACCAAGCTGCATCCCACGGGCATTGGACGCTGGGATTTGATGCGTGAGAAACTGAAAAAGGCTGCCAAAGCGATTCCATGGGGAGAGAAGAAGGAAATTGGATTCTTTCGCGGCTCACGCACTTCGGATGAGCGCGATTCGTTGATTTTGCTGTCCAGGCGAAAACCTCAACTGGTGGAGGCGCAATACACCAAGAATCAGGCATGGAAATCGCCTAAGGACACCCTCGATGCGCCGCCAGCAAACGAGGTCTCCTTTGAGGATCACTGCAAATATAAATATTTATTTAACTTTCGCGGCGTTGCGGCCAGTTTTCGCCTGAAGCATCTGTTCCTCTGTGAATCCCTCGTGTTCCACGTCGGCGACGAGTGGCAGGAGTTCTTCTATTACCAGCTGCAGCCTTGGGTCCATTACGTTCCACTGCGCAGCTATCCCAGTCAGGAGGAGTACGAGGACATACTCAACTACTTCAAGAGCCACGATGAACTGGCTCAGCAAATTGCCCAGAGAGGACATGAATTCATTGTTCAGCACCTGAGGATGCAGGATGTCCAGTGCTATTGGCGCAAGCTTCTGAAACGCTATGGAAAGCTGATGAAATATGAGGTGAAACCAGATAATACAATGAGACGCATCAGAGGCGGCAGAGATGAGCTCTAGTATCTAAAACTTGCGATTTATACACGTCAGGAGAAACTCTAACATGTTCCAATCCATTCTATCTCATTTACAAATAAGGAAACGTCTCAAAATGCAATAATACATAAGAGAAAAGCCAAAATGTTCATAGAAATTTTTTTCTTGTACCATTCCATTCTATCTCAAGTATTAATAAGTTGAAATACCTCCAATATATAACAAAGAAAAGCCAATATTACTTTTTAAAACAATTTTACTGGAAATAAATAAGTTTGGCACTATTTTAAGACGTGAATTTTTTGAAAATGATCTCTGTTCTTTTATTTCCTTCCATTCCACTACAAATAATTGTGAATGAAAACGAAAACCAGGAGCATCTATTCTTAGTTATAAATATCTAGAGTACATGGAATATTACTTGCACTGAATATTAAAATTTGTGCAATTCCTTTCTACTCCATTGATAACTTAATAGCCTTATGTTTCTTAAGGTTAGATAACAATACTACTTTAAGTCAAACTGGTCATTAATTTGACTCCACGAAAACATATAAAGTGGAACCACAGATCTGAATAAAAAAAAATTTAAGCTTACTATTTCAAATGAAATTTTGGTGGATTCGGTTAGTGTGTTTGATGATGGCGATGGGCTGAGTTTAATGAATGATATTAGTTCTGGGTAAATGTGATGTTTTTTTTATGAGGAGGAACATTCCATTCGTTAACAACTAAATTATACGCGAATACAGGCAATTATAATGTAAAATAAACATAAAATGTACGGAACCTAAAGATAAATACGAAATAGCGAACGCTTGGTCGCGCGCTTATTGCAAAGCGGGCATTTGTGGGTGGTAGCAATAGCTGTTTCGATGCAGTGCTTGCAGAAGATGTGACCGCACTTGGTCGAGTAAGGCTCGCGCGTGCGAACGCATTCCAGGCAGACGGGACATTTGTAGGCTTCACGGAATGAGTCCGACTTGTCTAGGTCTAAGCATTCACGCTTTGGACTCGAGGCACCAGCATCAGGCTCTGCAGCTGCCGCCGGCTGATTGTTGTCGTATAGACGACGCCGATTGACAGCTGTGGGCTCATTGCTCGAGTCCGCCAAATTGATGAAAGCCGGAAGACGGCGGCACGGCTCCGGAGTGCACAAATCGATAACAGCCTCGGGAGTGCGAGGTCTTCCGCTGCGACGAGGTGGAATAAACTCTAGATTGGACAGATCAATAACCTCTTCGGGCTCATCTGTAAATTATAAATTAAACAAATTAATAAACAGCAAAGGTTTGCAATCCTAGTTATCGTCCGCTCATGGGAGACTTCACTGTAGTTGCACTTACTGCTGCCCGTTAAGCGATTATTACGGCGAGCATATGGATTCCTAGGTGTTGAATTGCTGCCCACTGGGCCCAGGCCAATCTGGGTCAAATTATTATCCACTTCCTCGCAGAAGAGGCGAACTAAAACAATTGTACATGTTTCAAAAATTGAAATATTCAACCAGGTAGGCTACTTACTGCTCGCTATTTCGGCTTCAATTAGATCATGCTGAAATGAGTCGTCCGCTGCCTCCTGCAGGACGTCATCGGTTAAGTCTAATGTGTCTGTCGAGGGCTCCTCCTGAGGCGAACGATTGAAACTGGAGCTGGAATTGTCCGATGTCATGTTCGACTCGATGGTATTCTCGGGGCTAGAGTTCGATTCTACGGTATTTTCGGGGCTAGAGTTTTCCATTAGCCCGAAAATGGGCGAGCTTACGACGGCTGCAGATGTCTGCAATTGGTGCAGCAATATAATGAGTTTTTCCAATTCTCAGCACTACACTTACCGCTGGTGTCAACGAGTCAGAAAGTGAAAAATCTGAGAAGCTGGACATGTCGCTCGGCTTGTGCAAATTTCAAAAAAGATTTAGACATTTAGGCGGCCTCACCAAAGAAAAAGAGATCTATCGACAAGCAGCTGTTGACAGTCTATCGATAGGCGCTGACATCGCTTCGAGTGTTGAAAAACGAGTCAGCTGCGATATGCCAGCTATCGATATGCCACACGTCACATCAAAACAATACTTCGAGTGTGTAGCAGAAAAACAACAAAAAAAATTGAAAAATAGTAAGCGAACCGCAGCAATGGACAAGGACAGGTTCACGCTTCAGTCCATACGGCAGGACTTGATTGATAACAATCTGCAGGCAAAGGCCATCATACAGGCAAGCGATGAATTTTATGCACACAAACATAAACGTAAACACAAACATGAACCATGTAAATAATCCGCACTTTAGGACATACTCAACAGCAGATCCTCAATCGCCGAGCTGGAGGAGCTCAATGAGGCGGGACGCGGCAAGTTGTCGGCGATACGAAAGAATATCGAACGGCTCGATGATTGGGCCAGGGACATGGGCGATCCCGCACTGGCCACAGAGGTGGACACACATCGGGAGCAGTTCTCGAAGACTTTACAGGCATTCCGCAAGGCCAACGTCTCCACCATGCTGGAGATAGAGAAGGCCAATCGAGAGGAGCTGATGGCCATCACAGGCGAGAGCGACCTGAGGCAGCGCTCCACAGGCGGCGCGCGGCACAATCGCAGCAGCCTCGTCACGCAGGAGAACGACGTCACAGAGAAAATGCTGGCCATATCGCGACACCTGTCGGAGACCACCCAGAAGAGCGCCGTCACGCTGGAGACCCTGGTCGCCTCCTCCCAGAACGTGGCGGCGACCAGCGACGAGCTGCACAACACAGCCGGCAGCATCACGCAGTCCGGCAAGCTGCTGAAGAAGTACGGGAGGCGCGAGTGCACCGACAAGATGCTGCTCTTCTTCGCCTTCTGCCTGTTCCTGGCCTGCGTCTTCTACATAGTGCAGAAGCGCCTGTTCTAGATTGTCGAGGTGTGTCTGCCTAGCAGCCGGAATTTTGCAACTAGTTTATAAATATAGTCGGTATATGATATCATTCGAGATGAGGGTGCAAAATGCTTTGCTACTTTAAGAGTTATTAACTGTAAACGCACGTATATATACATATATTTATTTCAAATCGCAACTGTAAGTTTACCTCCTTAAATAAATACAGAGATTGGATGAGTTTAGTACGGACATCTGGGAACATTGCCGGGATTTGTGAAGCCATTCGTGTTGACTACGCGGCAAATCTCTTTGTAGGATCTCTCCTGGGCTCTGCCTCTGGGTCTCTGGGGTTGTCTATAGGCTGGTGAGGCGGCGGGATAATAGTAGCCTCCTCTTGGCTCGCTCTGGAAGAGTTGATCGAACAATGTTCTGCCAGTGCTGGGAGTCAACATAGAGAGACAGATGATGAAATATATGAATAAAGCACGCATTTTGACTTTTTGCGGAACTAACTTGAAATGAGCTGATTCGAGTGGATGCTGTGCTACTTATGGGCTTCCTATAACCTTGCACTATTTAAAAACAAAATTTATTGCTGGCTGATAACAGAATTTGATTCAAAAGCAATTTGCGACGTTTTACAACACTGCCAAGCCGGCGTGCCACAGCTGACAGCAGCCAGCGGCAGCACTGGCACAATTTGTTTGCTTTTCGTTTGGTTTGCCGGGAGATATTAAGCGTTTTGATAAATATTTATTATGAGTCGCAGCGAGCAGACATTTGAGGATCTGAAATCCTACTTTCGATCTCACAGCAAAATACGCGAGCAGCGGCCGCATATGTCAAAGGTGAGTCCGCCAATGCACGCAGCATGCCTCGAATTGTGTTGCAATCTGCTTCTTCTTCGCATTCGCCTTAGGTGCATTCGGTTTGCTGGAATGCAAATGGCTGCCACTTGGCATCGGGCTCCTTTGATAAGACTGTGGCTGTCTATACCCTGGAGCGGGATCGCTTTGTGAAGAACAATGTGTTCCGCGGCCACACAGCCTCCGTGGATCAGTTGTGCTGGCATAAAACGAATCCGGACCAGTTCAGCACGGCGAGCGGCGATAAGACCGTGCGAATCTGGGACATTCGAGTGGGCAAATGCGTCTCAGTCACCAACACAAAGGGCGAGAACATCAACATCGCCTGGTCGCCCGATGGCAAGACGATTGCCGTGGGCAACAAGGAGGACCTGATCACCTTCATCGACACGCGCACCAACAAGATCCGCGTGGAGGAGCCCTTCAGCTTTGAGGTGAACGAGATCTCGTGGAACAATACGAACGACTTGTTCTTCCTGACCAACGGCATGGGCTGCATGCACGTGCTCAGCTATCCCAGTCTGGAGCACTACATGACGCTGAAGGCGCATCCCGCCAATTGCATATGCATTGAGTTCGGGCCCACAGGTAAGCCCGGCACAGGCATAGGTGTCAAAAGCAAACACTGAGTGAATTTGATTTCAGGCAAATACTTTGCCACGGGCTCCGCGGACGCGCAGGTCTCCCTGTGGGACGCCAACGAGCTGGCCTGCCTGCGCATGATCAGCCGACTGGAGTGGCCAGTGCGCACCATATCCTTCAGCCATGACGAACGGCTAATCGCCTCGGCCAGCGAGGATCTGCTCATCGACATTGCGTACACGGAGACGGGCGAGCGAGTCACGGATATCCATGTGGACGCCTCCACTTTCACTGTCGCGTGGCATCCCAAGCAGTATCTGCTGGCCTATGCCTGCGACGAGAAGGAAACCATCGGCGATCGGCGGCGCGATGTTGGCAATGTCAAGATATTCGGATTCCCGGAATAATCACGGGAATTAAAGTTCGATTTGGTTGCATTTCGCAGACCTTTAACACGCCTAACAACCAAACGTGTTCTCAATTCAAAGCAGGCCAACAGGATTTGTTAACCAACAATCAGTTTAGACCTTTGCGATGATTTTTTAACAAATCTGAAATTAGATTTACCTCCGTCATGTTTTTGAGAGATTCTACGGCCAATATATGTTTTGTAAAGGTATTAGATGAGAACTTGTTGGCCCGTCTCTTTTATACTAAGCAATTAATTTAGGTAAAATAAATATGTAATTTTTCCATACGAATCACTATTGTATATATGTATGTGTATGTAGTACTGAAAGTTAAGAGACTTACTGCTAGAATTGATATTGTTTTACAATAATATTGAATTACTACAGCTAAATGTACTTTAAAGTCTTCTGCTTCGTTTACATATTTCAGTGAAAGTAGTTCCACTATCTATCTATTCTATCTATATCAAATTCTTTAACAGTTAACAGTTAATCTAATATTAAAAATTTGGGTTTTCCTTACATTTAATCTATTAAAATGATGCTTATGTATATACATATATAGCTTATACATATATCATATAATACAACAATATATTTGTATATATATACTGGAAAATCGTATATCTAAACAGCCAACATATAAGGTCTAACTGCAGCTGCATCAGATTTGACAATAGTTATAACCTTATATTATGTATATGTATTATATTTTTAAAGAGCAAAACCAAATGCCACATTGAAGCAAAGCAAAAGCTAATTATGACCAAATTATTCGGGCTTTACTACACACAAATAGAATACGGAAATTAGTGGGCAAATTGCACTCGGGCATAACTGACTGCATAATACACATTCACAACTAAGCTGGAAGTAAGTTAAATTAAATGGAATAGTCAATATCGGGAATAGCTGACTGCATCATAGGTAAGATATTTACAGAATAAAAGAAAATTTTTTAACAATTTAATAAAATATAATTTTTATAGAAATTATTATTTTTTTTAAATTTTTTTTTACATCCCATATAACTTTAATATAACTTTAATATTACATTTTAAATTTTACATTACCAATTTCAGCTCCTCAAACATTTGTAGACGTAAAACCAATACACCCCTTTCACTTGATGGGCGCGCTTGAAGAGCATTTGCAATCAGTCAACGACCCAAACCGCAACAGCAAACCGCAGGAGCAGAGCAAAGCAAATGCTTCTTATATTTCAGGGTCTGGCATGTAATTAAAAAGCTTTGCAATTTGCGAAATGTTCCACTGGCTTCCAGCCTGCAGCCCTATGGCGATAGTGGCTCTCGGCCCTTGGCTTGTCTTTGCCGTTTTATCTGCTAACTTGCAAGTAAAAATGTCTGTCATATCTCGGGGATATATGTGCACACATCTGCTCGACCTACGTAGCGACTAGCTGGTATGCACCTGTGTAGCTGTGTAACGGTGCATCTGTATATACCTGTGTGGCCCCCTCTATTCGAACTGTTTGTTGTCGTGTAATTTCAGGTCGAGTGCCCTCCAGTTCCGTTGCTTTGTCAGCATTTCTGCAGCTCATTGTGAGTTTTTTAATTAATTAGGCATTTGAGCATTACAGCACGTCCTTTTCATGCTTGTTAACTCGTTTATAATGGCAAACAATCAGCTCGGACTCATTGGCCTCAGAGGCTGTACAACTATGGATTACACGAGGAAACAAATTTAATTGAGTTCCAAAGGACATTCAGATTGAGATGGAGATAGACCGAGCCAACAGAATTTTATATGTATTTACATAATTTTAATGAAATTAATTGTTATACCCTGTTCACCCATTCTGAATGGCTAAATAGGGCTTATTAATTCATATTCATATTTAATTTGTATAGCAGGCAGAAGAAGGCGAAGCTTGACCATGGTTTGAAAAATCTGCATAAAGAGTTATTATAAAGATATAAGCCTAAGACTAGGTTAATAGAGCGGAAAGAGTAGAAGACCATAATGAAAGTTGTACTACAAATGCTCCTTTTGGCAAGAGCAAATGGTGGATCGCCTGGCCAAAAAATATAATAAAATATCTTTAAAGTCTAGCACAAAGCCAAGTATCAGAGACATTTCCATATTTATCTAGGCATTTTTCGCATAGAGTACCAAGTTTTCAATTTATTTATTTTCCCTACACTCTACTACACTCTCCCTAGATTCACCTGCAACTCGCCTAATTACATTACAAGTATTTAACGGTTTAATAAACTATAGCGCATACTAGAGGCCTGCACGAATGCATTCGAAACGCTTCGACACTGGCGTTTTGGCTGTGAAAATTGAAATTTAGAACCTAATTTCATTAATCATGGCAAATTCGAATTTGTCGCATCGAAGACTATAAAACTTGCTGAGCTGTGAATCGATCGAACAGTTCACCAGAAATAATGAAGCCAGCTGTAAGTATTTAACTGTTTAATCACTGCATTTGAAACGCTAAACGAGACACTCGTGTTTTGGTAGTGCTTGCTGTCTCAGTGTCTCGTATTTTCAAATAGTGCGCCGCATACTTATATTCAATTTATTTATGACTTCTCTAGATTTTCTATACGATTGTGTTGTTGGGATTGGGATTGGTGCCAATAGAGGCACGGTCTAATGATGATGGAGGAATTTCAAAAAATTACCTAGTCCTAACCAAGTCTTCTTTGCCCGACCCCAGCCCAAGAAGTGACTCGACACCGGTTGGAGATGAGGTCAGTCTTGGTGGAACGTCCTTAAAAGTTCTAGCAGGCTAAGCTCATTCAGAATGATAATCTTTTAATTTGATAAAACCGATTACGAATGTCAATTAGCTGCATTTCGAACGGGAATTATCTAAGAGCTTACATCAATTAAATCAGAATGTACTTAATAAAAGTCTATATTGTATTGCAAATTGGGGGCAAAGGGGCGTGGTATCAAAAATCTGTAAATTACAAAATGTCTGTATTCATTATATGTATATACATAGTAAGTCTGAGGTCTCTAGGTCTAAAAGTGTTCAAATTAGGCTGAAAAAACAAAATCAAAACTTCGGTTATTCTCGATAAACAAGTTATCGGATGAGTTATCGAAAAAATATGATAAACTTGTACTGCCTATGGTACAGACGAGTATGCATGCCGAATTTCAGCTCTCTAGCTCTTATAACTTCTGAGATCGACGCACTCATTCGGACGGACAGACGGACAGAAGATCAAGAATATATATACTTTAAGGGGTTTGCCTGATTTCCCATTATTAATGGGTTCAGGGTGTAATAAGAGTAGACGAGAATAAAAGGGAACCAAGAAGAGAGAAGCATAAGAGTTGGATGATATAAACTATGAAGGACTTCGTCAGCCCTCTACTTTAAATTATAAGACCATAGCAGTTTAGCTTTAGGTAGCCCCTAGTCGGTCACTTCCAGCAGCGGCACTCTTGGCGAAACATTTTCGCTTCCTATCTCCATCATCGTGTGAAGGCCAACATTTTCCGATACTTTCTACGTATATATGTATGTATTCATGTTTATATGGGTGCAATTCCATTCTAAAATTTCTTCAATGAAATTCTTTTCAAAAAAAGCCACGTCCGATATACATAGATGTAGAACTTGATTATCTGGAACCTAATGGATTGGGGGTCGGGATGGCCAGGGCGAGTCTTACAAATCGGCTGTTGGCTGTTTTTATAGGCGCCTTCAATCCACTTTGTAAGCCATTCTATGGCAATAAAGTCCCTCAAGTGAGTGGCTCTAATATGAAATTGAATTTAAATAAACGCAGTCGAGGTCGAGTAAAAGCCGCCGGCACACGTTCCGAATCTGATTTGATTTGTTTGCTTGGGGTGATTGGAGAAGGCATTGGGATTGGGAGGGGGATGGCTGTGGGGGAGGGGGATGAATGAGGCAGGAGCCGATTCGCCCAGCACTTAGCCAAAATTTAATATGCAACAATCTTTGGCAGCAGCGAAATGGAAGGCGCATACAATCAGCCTCATCTACAGTAGCAGGAGGCGCAGCAGGAGCAGCAGGCGCAGCAAGAACAGGAGCCAACGGCCAGGAGATGGCGCCGTATGCTTTTATAGCAAGTAAACGTGCTCTAGTTGGCTGTGCCTGACTAGAAATTACCCTGAAGACTCTCTGTTCTTCATACATGGATTTCGCTTGTCTTCTCCAAGTAACTAACACATTTCGGTGTAAGTATACATGATTAGAAAACGAGTAGGGTTCTACTCATTCTAATTTCTATTTCTCCATTTCTTCTAATAAGTAAGTATTTCCGCTAATTATTTCCTTTAAATATATCTTTTAAGTATTTTCTTAAACAATTTCATTGAAGTATTTTCTCTCTCTTTAATACTTGGCTGAACGACTTCACTGACGGAGAGACAGACTCTGAGTCAGATATTTCCTCATTAATATATGCGTGATAAAACTTATGTTCATTCATATTTTTATTTATTTAATAATAATTCACCAGATTCATTTTGATTGTTGTTTCCATTTAAAAATGAGGATAACGTTCGGCTTTGGGGCTTCTTTTTATACGGTATTTGAAGAGAGAGAAGACTACGCGTATGCGTAATTTTTCGATTTCCCTCAATTCGTTCACCTAACATCTTGTCTGATGCGGCCGAGACGAATTATATTAGTTAATCGAACTATAACTAAGGGAAGGGGTGGATCGATGCACACGTGGCATATAAGAACTTGCAAAAAAAAAAAAGTCTAGTCTCGAGCTCTTATACCTCCTGAGATCGACGCGTTGGAGCATACGGACAGACGGATAGGCCTACGTCGGCTCAGTTGAGTTGAGTCATGCTGAGTCGCGTCGGTGGCATTCAGTCGAGTCTCAGTCTCAGTCTCCGTCTGAGTCTCCGTCTGAGTCTCATTCTCCGTCTCCGTCTCCGTCTCCGTCATTGATTTAGGCAATTAGCAATTTGCAATTAGCCGACAGTTTTGTCATAATCTGCTCAACAGACACATAATTCCTAATTGCCATGTCGCCCCCTTTGTTGTCACCTTTTTTAATGTGCCTCTTGGCCAAAAGAGTGTCAAGTTGTCTCTGAGCTGCTCTTCCAGCACTTTGTGCCTGCCAGCTGCGCCTCCTGTCGACTCTCGCTCAGCAGGCGAAAGTGAAGAGTATATTGGTTCATGGTTCATGATGGTGTAAAGTTCATTCCTAATAGGAATAGGATAGGAATAGGAATTTCCTATACACCGAGAGGAGTATACGAATAAATCAAATGCTGAGCTACGGAGTGTGCGAGCATTGGAGTATAAGAGTATTTAAGTATAACACTATAAAAATGCATAAGGTATGAGAATATACGAGTATATGAATATACGGATAGAGAAGAAGAGTATAAGAATAAAAAGGTATTATGAAACCGAGCAGAAAAGCAAAGTATAAGTGCATACGAATATATGAATATAAGAGTATAACAGTAAGGGTGCATGGAAATATAGAAGTAAACATGAATAAAAGATAGTTAGTATAACAGAATAATATTCGACGAGTATAGTAGTATCAAAGTAGAGTAAAGCACTGGAGTATGAGTGCATAAGAATATAGTAAAGGAGTATAGAAATAACATATGGTGTGGCATACCACATAACAATATAAGTATGTGAACGTAAAACTGTATATATGATATTTGTTGGAAATTCCGTAAAATGTTCCACAGTATAAGAACCACAATATACCATAAAAATTTGCGTGAGCACAGAGAAGGCGCTCATAATGAGATAATTTGAAAAACTTCTTTAGCGCGAACAAGTATTATGCAGTCGATCATAGCCGATATTCTCGCTTGTTCAGTTTGCCCTTTTCGTGCTCGTGTCTCTGATTGCGTAATTGCGAGTTGTTTTTCAATTATCAAACAAGTGTCTACAAGGGCTCTGGAGTCGCATAGACCTCAGCCATGAGACAGGTGCAACTCTGTGAAACAGGTGAGCTCTTACCTGCTGTTGGGTAAAAACACAGGTGAAAATCATGTTGAGTATGCCGAATGGCTAGAGCTGCCTTATGTTCGCTTCGAGAATCAATATTTTATTTTACTTTTTTTTATGGAAATTCTTGCATTGCGAGGGCTCATCAAAAAGTAATCAAAATCCTACCTTTTCGGGGTCAAAACTAAAAGGAAAGAAAAAGCCTTTTCTGCCTTGAGGGTTGCGACGCTTGTTGAGAGCTTTATGAAAATGTAAGCCATGTTTTTCTTACATGTTTGTGTTTGGGTATGGGTGTCTGAGTGTGTGTGTGTCTGTTAGTGTGTGTGTGCGTGTGTGTTATGTTATTGCATACCCAACGTCTGATTATCATGTGACAATGAGCTCACAAAATAATATCAGCATTTGCACATTTCTTAGCGAGACAAGTGTGTGTGTGTGTGTGTGAGAGAGAGAGTGTGAGAGTGTGGGTGGATAGTTGGGTGTGTGTGTGTGCATGGCACAGCTGTTAGTGCCCGCAGCCGTATACAAGGCTAACAACTGCTAAATACGACAGTCGACAGGCCTGCTACAGTGGAAACTGGCACGAAGGAACAGACAGATGTTTGACTTATGTCAGTTGTTAGGAGGGCAGTCACTCGAGACTCCACTGTATGCCACACTTGCATCTCCTCTCTCTCTCTCTCTCCGTTTGGCTCGGATGTCTGTTTCATCGGATGATGTGTGCTTCGTGCAGCTGTCCGTCAGGCGGGCTTTCACTGTACCTGACGTGCGTCAGCTCGCATTAACTTTAACTTCCAGATTCCAGCCTCAAGTTGCGCCAACTACTGTAAAATCTTTGGCTTCCTGCCAGCCGGTGAAGTCATATTCAATATTTCAGAATATTCAAGGCTCCAACTTCGATGGGGAAATCTGAAATCGTTTGGAGCTCCATGAAATGCGCTCAGCTCAAGTGTGGCAACAAAAAGCGCGTGTTTACACCGAACTTAAGGGCCTTTATTGCAAAATTTGCTGAAATCCAATTTCGCTTATTTATGTACAGGGTTAATTCGCACATAAAGATAAGGCACAACATGGGCTGCCTACAGCAGATAGATAGCGCAGGAGTCGCTCCTCGTTCTGCTGCTGCTGCTCCTGTAGCTGCCACTGTTCATCCTTCTGCTCCTCCTCAGGTTCCTTCTGCTCCTGCTACTGCTTCTAGTTCTGCTTCTGCTCGTGCTACCATTCCTTCACTTTTACAGATCTCCTCCTTTTCTACTCCTGCTCCTACATTAAATTTCTTGTATACAGTTCCTCCTTTTGCTGCTCCACAGGTTACCTCCTCATATTCCGACTCCTGCTCCTGCTGCTCCTGCTACTATTCCATCTCGTCCATAGAATTTCTTCTGCTGCTCCTTCATAGGTTGCTACCTCGTGCTCCTGCTCCTGCTCCTGCTTCTGCTCCTATCTTTGCTACTATTCCATGCTCGCCTTCTCTTTACTCTATTGCTCTGTCATAGCTCTTGCTCCACTTCTCCCCCTCCGCCGCCTCCTACTCCACCATAGCTGGCACCTGTGCCAAGATACAAACTTTTCTATTTACAGCCCATCAAGTCGGCTTCATTTTCGTGGGTTTTCTTTTGTTTTGTTTTTTTGGCTCCTCACATCTCTCAGCTCAATTTTGTGTGCGCCTTTGTCTATTTCAGTTCACACTTGGCTGACTTCGCCTGGCGCACTCCTCGCACATTTTATGCGCTTTTTACAGTGCGTATCCCCTGTTTGCATGTCGGCTTAACGCTTCGCCTTTTATTGCAGTGACAAAAGGAAAAGTTACCTGAGCACGTCCTTACGACGAAGACTTCCTAATGCAGCATCAGTCAAAATGTTCTGCCCTTTCACTTATCGCAAGTGTATAGATAGGGTATATTGATTTTGCCAAATTGAATACGTGAAAGCTAGAAAAGGA